CTGTCTGGGCCTCTGAACCGAGGCATGCCTGACCAGGGGTCTTGCTCCAGCTGTCCCCTCACACCTGTCCTCTGCCCTCCCCACCTGGCATCATAGAGCCACGTGGGCCTCCCTCACCTACACCAGGGCAGGTGTCTCCTGGGTCCGAAGACAGACTCACTGAAGCAGCCTCATTTCTGGGGTGACACCCGAGGTTCTTGGTCTCGCAGCCACGGAGATAAGGACGAGGACACAGGAAGGGTGAGGTTAAAGCAGACATTTAATCAGCAAAAGAAAGAGAATAGGCTGGGCATGGCAGCTCAAGCCTATAATCTTAGCATTTTGGGAGGCTGAGGCGGGTGGATCACCTGAGGTCAGGAGTTCAAGACCAGCCTGACCAACATGAAGAAACCCTGTCTCTACTAAAAATACAAAATTAACTAGGTGTGGTGGTGCATGCCTGTAATCCCAGCTACTCAGAAGGCTGAGGCAGGAGAATCACTTGAACCCGGGAGGTGGAGGTTGCAGTGAGCCAAGATTGTGCCATTGCACTCCAGCCTGGGCAACAAGAGCAAAACTCCATTTCAAAAAAGAAAGAAAGGAAGGGAGGGAGGGAGGGAATAGGCTGGGTATTGTGGCTCAAGCCATGTACATTTGACATACTTCCTAAGAAAACACTTTTTAAATGCAGATTGTCCAGGCTGGGCATGGTGGCTCATGCCTGTAATCCCAGCACTTTGGGATGCTGAGGCAGGCAGATCACCTGAGGTTGGGAATTTGAGACCAGCCTGACCAATATGGTGAAACTTCGTCTCTACTGAAAATACAAAAATTAGCCAGGAGTGGGGTGCACACCTGTAATCACAGCTACTCAGGAGGCTGAGGCAGGATAATTGCTTGAACCTGGTTGAACCTGGGAGGTGGAGATTGCAGTGAGCTGAGATCACACCACTGCACTCCAGCCTGGGTGACAGACTGAGCCTCCGTCTCAAGAAAAAAAAAAAAATAAAAAGGAGAGAGAGAACAGCTCTCTGTTACAGATAGGGGTCCTGGAAAAATGGGTTGCCCATCCAAGATGAAATGCAGAGGTTTTTATAGATGAGCTAGTGGGGAGGCGGTGTCTGATCTACATAGGGTATGACAAACTGGTTGGGACCAGGCATGCCATCTGCATAGTGTAACACCCCAATCTTTTTTTTTTTTTTTTTTTTGAGACAGAGTTTCACTTCTGTTGCCCAGGCTGGAGTGCAATGGCACGATCTGGGCCCACCACAACCTCTGCCTCCCGGGTTCAAGCAATTCTCCTGCCTCAGCTTCCTGAGTAGCTGGGATTACAGGCACGCGCCCCCATGCCCTGCTAATTTTTGTATTTTTGGTAGAGACAGAGTTTCACCATGTTGGCCAGGCTGGTCTCGAACTTCTGACCTCAGGTAATCTGCCCTTCTCAGCCTCCCAAAGTGCTGGAATTACAGGCGTGAGCCACCGTGCCCGGCCAGCACCCCAATCTTTTTTTATGCAGGTGGGCAGCTACTCCATGCCGCTCATTTTTTTCTTACTGTGCATGTGCTAACTAAGAGGGACATGGAGCCCCAGGGTGGACATTCCTGGCCCCAGGGAGCCCTTTCTATCTGTGCAGCTGCCTCCATCTCCTGTGCAAGCTTCCAGCCTGATCTAGGCTTGCAGCCTAATCTTCCAGGCTGCTCTTCATTAGAAAAGAAGTGATTTCTTGGACTGCGTTTTGCTTTTCTTTGTTTTGTGTTGAGACGGAGTCTCTCTCTGTTGCCCAGACTGAGAGTGCAGTGGTGTGATCTCAGCTCACTGCAACCTCTGCCTCCCAAGTAGCTGGGATTACAGGCATCTGCCACCACACCTGGCTAATATTTATTTATTTATTTATTTATTTATTTATTTACTGAGACTAACGCTCACTCTATCACCCAAGTTGGAGTGCAGTGGCGAGATCTCGGCTCACTGCAACCTCCGCCTCCCAGGTTCAAGCGCTTCTCCTGCCTCAGCCTCCTGGGTAGCTGGGATTACAGGCGCACACCATTGTCTCTGGCTAATTTTTGTATTTTTAGTAGAGATGGGGTTTCACCATGTTGGCCAGGATGGTCTGGAACTCCTGACCTCAGGGCCTATCTGCCCGCCTTGGCCTCCCAAAGTGCTGTGATTACAGGTGTGAGCCACCCTGCCCGGCCTGCTTTTTGTTAGAAGGGAAGTTCTGCTGAGGACTCTTTTGCCCTCACCATCTGCCTAAATAATTTCTTTCTATCTCCTGTATCACCACCACAGTGGGAGGAAGCTGCCGACTTGGGATGTGGAGGTGGGGGCAGAGGGTCCTCCAGCTGGGCCTAAACAGAGTCCTGCCCCAGGCCTGCCTGATCATGGCACCTCCTGCCCCTGCCCAGGACTGTGGTCACAGACATTGTGCCAGCCCCTTCTGACCAGTGAGAGCCCAAACAGGGCACACGGGAACCCACACAGAATCAGAGAAGCCCCCAACAGGGGCTGGGAGCAGTCCCCTGGGCACCATTGGCCAATGGACCCCCGCCGGGGGGGCAGCTGCTGGTGTCCTGGGGTGGTCTCCACTCTCGTGATGGTGCCGGCGTCTGTGCTTGTGGTGTTGGTGTGTGCGTGTGTGCGCAGGTGAGAGTGTCAGCTGAGCGTGCACACGTCTGGTGTTCATGCGCGGGTGAGCTCGTGCTCATGCTGTCCCGGGTCAGTGACAGGCAAGCATCGTGTGGGCCATGGACTGGATGTGGGTTTGGGTAGTAGGGACACAGTGACCCCTAACCCCAAAACCGTCCCTGGCTCTTGGGTGGGGAGGGGAGAGGCTGGCACAGCTTCCCTTTGGCTGTTCCCGCCTCCCTGGTTCCTGCCCCGTGGCCCCTGCCCCATGCGCCCGCTCCATGTCTGGCACTGCCCTTCCCTGTGTGGGGCACGGGTCCCCACTCCTTGGGTCTCAGCTCCCAGGCTGCCCTCCCAGGCCCTCCGAGGACACCCCGTGGGTGTTTGTCCCTGTGTGACTGGGGCACCACATACAGCAGGATGTGCTGAGGCTGTACGCCTGGGCCCCACAGTCAGACGGATAGACAGAAACGTGGATGGACAGACCGGCAGCTGGTGGCCAGCGCAGGCTGCCGAGAATTGGCGGAAGTGGGGCGGGTGGCCGGCGGGCGGCCTGGCAGATCCTGGAAATCCTCGCTTCCTGTTTTCCCAACAAAGAGCCTCTGTCCCCCCAGGAAGGCCACGGGCTGGCGGCAGTGGACGGACATTCCTTTTCCGTAAACAGGATTGTTTTCCTTTTCTCCTCTGGACACAATAACAGCAGCCCCCATGCCCCCCATCCTGTCTCCTGTCACCACCAGCCACGGAGCCTGGACATTGTGGACGGGTAGGGGGTCCACAGAGCAGGCTCTCCTGTACCAGTTGCCCATTCTGTCACCCTGGGAGTGGGAGTCACAGTGGGGGTCACAGCCTTGTTGACAGCAATGAGGCCTCCAGGGCAAGGAGTAGGAATGCAGTGACGTCTGCCCCACAGGGCAGGTGGGAGGCTGGACCAGCCTTGGGCTGGGGGACCCTGTGAGCCTCATGGCCCGAGGCGGCAGTGCTTGGGGCAGTGGCCAGGCTTGGTTCTCTGCAGGGGCTGGGCCTCCCTCTAGGTGGACCTCCCCCTAGGTTGGCTTTGGGCGAATGCGTTTGACTTCCAGAAGCCTCAGAGTAGGACCCAGGAGTAGCTAGAAGCCCCCAGGGGACCCTGGGCAGTGGCGGGAGGAGCAAAGAAAAAGCCTCCAGAGACATTCGGGGCCCTCCTCTGCCGCAGGAGACCCTGTGAGGGCTGCAGGGACAGCCTGGGTCTGTTCAGTGCAGATGGCATGGAGGGGCAGGAGTGGCACAGTTCCTGTGTGCACGGCTCTGAGTGAGTGCAAGTGTGGCTGCTGTGCTCACCCAGGCAGCAGGGGCCTGAATGGGCCTGTGTGAGGGGCTGGGGCTATTTATAGCCGCTTCTAGCCCAGGGAGCTATTAATAGCCAGGGTTGAGGGGGACGGACAATGTCTCCTGCTGGCCGCTGCCTGCGGGTGGGGTGGGGGTGGGTGCCATTCTGCGCCTGGAGACACCCGGGGCTGGTACCCCAGCCCCCACCCAGGCTGCGGCACAAGGGCCACTGTTATCTGGTCAGCAGCTGAGCCAGGGGTCTGCATTCACCTGGGACAGCAGGCTGGGGGTACACCAGGCTAGAGCCCCCACCCCACTCTCCCCAGAGGCCATTCTGCAGCCACACTGACCCTGAGGATGGGATGGTGGGCGTGTGAGCTGGCAGCAGCAGGGCACCCGGGATGGAGAGGGACGCTGAGACCAGGACCCCCATATCTAGTTCTTAGATTCCAGCGTGGGGAAGGGGTAAGGAAGCACTGTGGGGACCGCACAACCACAGCCAGAAGTGGATTTGAGAGAGGCTGGCCCTGCAGGCCCCCCAACCTGCCTCTGGCAGGATAACCAGGTGTCCCTGAAGTAAACAGGTGAACTGAGGCCAAATCAGATAGGCCTTGGAGCCACTGGAGAGGTGTGGATGGAGTGGTGTGGGTGGAGGGCTGTGGGTGGAGGAGGAAAGCCCTGCCGGAATTCAGGCTGGTGGGTGGGCCTGGCAACAGGTAGCCTCATAGCCCCCTGTCCTGGCTGAGGCTCGTTCCCTCTGATCATTTTTGAAAAAAAAAAAAAAAAAACAAAAAAACAGGTGGCACCCAACTTGTACAAAGATCCCGACCTCACGAAGGGTAAGCGTGACCTGGGCGGGGCCGGAGGCACCCCTCCAGGCCTTGGCTGCACCCGGCTCCCTGTGCCACACGCGTCCCCAGCATCAAGGGGCGCACCCCTCCACCTCTCCCTAAGCCCAGCCAGGCTGCAGAAAAAAACAGGAAAGCTCGGAGGCCCCGCCAGGCGTCCTGTGGCCAGCTGTGTCCAGAGCCCACTGCCGGGCCTGGGGGATCTGGGCACGCAGGTCCTGGCTTCCACCCCGGGGGATGTTCGGCGGCGGCGGTGGCGCTCATGCGTCTCATTCAGCACCTCCTTCCGCGGGGCCTCCTTTCCCTCGGGGAGTCCCCGCCCGCGGGGCCGTGACTAAGCGGAGTCACCTGCCGCCAAGGGCTTTCCAAGAAGGTCAAGGCCAACCGCGCTCCGGCCCACGCCCCAGAACTCGGGCTGTGCCCTCACGGCCATCGTCCTGCGCATCGTCATTGCGCCCGCAGGGGGTTCCCAGCGACGAGGAGCGCGGGGGCGGAGAGGCGGGGGCGGAGAGGCGGGGGCGGAGCGCGGGCGGGTCCCTGTGGGGCTGGGCACGGGCTGCAGGTCCCCAACCCTGCTCACCCCAGGCCCCACACCCTCCACCCCTGCTAACCCCAGGCCCCACCCCCTCCACTCCTGCTTCTCTCGGACCTCCACCCTCCCCTCCGCCCCTGCTCCTCCTGGACCCCCACCCTCCCCTCCGCCCCCATCCCTGCTCACCCAGGCCCCACCCCCCCCACCTCTGCTCCTCCTGGACCCCCACCCTCCCCTCCGCCCCCATCCCTGCTCACCCAGGCCCCACCCCCCCCGCCCCTGCTCCTCCTGGACCCCCACCCTCCCCTCCGCCCCCATCCCTGCTCACCCCAGGCCCCACACCCCCTACCCCTGCTTCTCCTGGACCCGCAGCCTCCCCTCCTCCCCAATCCCTGCTCCTCACAGACCCCCCACCCTCCCCTCCGCCCCCACCCCTGCTCCTCCCAGACCCCCACCCTCCCCTCCGCCCGCACTCCTGCTCCTCCCGGACCCCCACCCCTCCCCTCTGCCCTTACTCCTCCCGGACCCCCACCCTCCACTCCGCTCCCACCCTGCTCCTCTCCGCTCCCCCACTTCCCCCCGCGCCCTCCGCCCCCAACACCTGCTCCTTCCCAGACCTTTATCCCCCTGTCCCAGTCCCTGAGCCCGTCTCTGCCCCAGTCTCGCTCTTCACTGCACCCCGGCGCCTCCATTGCGTCCCCTCCCCCCACCTCCCCGTGGCACCCCCATCTGCTCCCCGCCCCCTCTAGCCGGGGAAAGGCCAGCTGACGCTTCCGGCACCGCCCCTTTCCCGGCAGGGCCGCGCCCCGAGCTTCCCGCCCGCGGGAGCAACACTGCCCCCGCGCCCCACCCCTCGCCCCGCCGCCCGCCGGGGTCTCCCAAGCCCGCTCTGCGCAGGGCGGGGTTCTTCCTCTGCAGCGGGCAGACCGTGGACCGGGGCGCCGGACAGAGGCTGGAGGGGGGCCTAGGTGGGGGGAATCCCCGGTGGCTGTCCGCTCCCCACCCCCACCGCGGCCACCAGTCACCGCTCCCAGGCGGGACCCCGAGGCTTGCGGGTGACTCTCGAGTGGTGGCCGCCCTGTGGCCCAGAGGGCCCGGTCGCAGGCGGGTGGGTGAGCGCAGAAGGACGCTGGCCCTGGACTGCTGTTTGAGGGGTAAGGGACCAGGTACCCCTCCCTGGCTCTGGGGGATCCTCCCAAAGTCCAGACTGTGGGGAGAGCGGACCCTGCTCGCGGCTGGGAAAGATCTCTCCGGAAGGATCCCCCGGAAGTGGGTGGAGGGGGTCTCTGGAGAGGTGGGTGCCCTGCAGCCCCCTCAGGCCAGGCCAGGCTCCTCACTGGTGCAGAGCAGCCGGCTCGGGGTTTGGGAAGACCCCAGCCCCAGGGAGGCGGGGAGGGGCACTGGGCCTGGAGGGGGTGTGTGTGGCTTGAGAGCCGGCGGCCCCACCAGCCACATCACAGCAACCCTTTCTCGCCCCCGACGCCGTCCCCCACTCCCCTGCAGTACCTAGTCCCTTCCAACCCCCCAACCCCCAGGGCCCACCTGGCACAGGCTCAGTCCACACCCACGTGCTGGCCATGGGCACATGGGGAGGACGGCAGGGCCACTGGGCCAGGGCCCCCCACCCTGAGTCGCGCCACTGATGACCACCTGTCCCAGGTGGCAGGCAGCTTCCCCACCCCAGGCCTGCAGGGGCCTGGGAATCTGAAAAGGGACAGAGCCGGAGCAGGGGGGCTGAGGAAGTAGTGGGGAGCAGGCTGAGGAGGGCACCCCGCTGAAGGTCATACCCTTTGAGTAACACTCTGGGGGGCCAAAGGCCCAGCCCCCTCCTCACAGCTCAGCACGCTGGAGCAGTCTCAGGCTGCCTCACCTCACCCAGCCCCTGGGTCAGCTGAGGACATGGCTGAGGCGCTGCGGCCGCCTGCCGCTCTGGAGCCAGCCACAGACAGGCAGCGCCAGGGAGGTGTGCAGGCAAAGGCTCTCGCTCTGTCCAGCGGGCACCACTGGCAGTGGACGGCGACGGGGAGGGGCCTGCACTCTTGTGGTGAGTGAGCCTGGGGTGAGAGTCTGGGGGGCACAACCTTGAGAACAGTGTCCTCGGTGGGCTGCTGGTGCCCGCCCCTGAAGCTCTGGCAAAGCAACAGAAGACTGCATGGAGAGGCCAGGAGAACACGCACAGACTCGGTGGCCAGAGGGGCTGGCTCCCAATAGGCGACCCTACCCCTGGGGGTCTGCTGTGCTCGGGCCACGGTGCTGGCTGGGAAGAAACAGGACGTCTCCAAACCGTGCCTCCTCCGTGGGAGAGGCCGGCCCCCTCTCCCAGCTCCCCAGGACCTGCCCGAGACCCTCCTGGGATTAAGTTGCAGTGTATCCTGGTGGGGACGTGCTGGCCCAGTGACAAAGGGGCCACAGCCTGAAGGAGCCCAGGACCCGCAGCTGTGCCCAGCCAGATAAGCTGCGTGGGGTGGATGGTGGAGAGCTTGTGGGTTGTGGAGAGCTTGTGGGTTGTGGATCCTTTTCTGAGGACAAGGACCCCAGGAGGCGGTGTCCTCTGCTGCTCTGTTTCACGGTTCAGAGGCTCCTGGAGCGCGGGACACACGTGAAGAGGGGTGAATGTCAGAACAGCCACCGCAGACGGGGGCTGAAAGGCCTGTGACACCACGAATCCCGCCGTCCTCTGGAATTGAGAGCAGGGAACGGTCACAGCACTGGACTGGCTGACAGGGACAGGGGTGGCAGCCAGGCGGCAGCGTTTGACCATCAGTGGCTGTGGAGGCAGCTCTAATTAGAGTTGCAGGGCTGGAGCGGGGCCAAGGGCCAGAGCCGCGTGGGGTTGTGGAGGTAACTGGTAGAACACCATGTTCCTAGGAGAGGGACAGGCAGCCCACAAGAGACTGCTCAGCTTGTTGGAGCAGAAGAAATCAGGGTTGTGTGATGGGGAGGCCAAGGGCACTCTCTCTAATAAAAAGTCGTGGCCAGTCGCGGTGGCTCAAGCCAGAAATCGCAGCATTTTGCGAGGCCGAGGCAGGTGGATCACCTTGAGATCGGGAGTTCAAGACCAGCCTGCTCAACATAGTGAAACCCCATCTCTACTAAAAATACAACAATTAGCTGGGCATGGTGGCAGGTGCCTGTAATCTCAGCTACTCAGGAAGCTGAGGCAGGAGAATTGCTTGAATCTGGGAGGTGTTGCAGTGAGCTGAGATTGCGCCACTGCACTCTAGCCTGGGCAACACAGAGAGACTCTGTCTCAAAAATAAGTAAATAAGGCCGGGCGTGATGGCTCACACCTGTAATCCTAGCACTTTAGGAGGCTGAAGTGGGCAGATCACGAGGTCAGGAGTTCAAGACCAGCCTGACCAACATGGTGAAACCCCATGTCTACAAAAAATACAAAAATTAGCTGGGCGTGGTGGTGCATGCCTGTAATCCCAGCTACTTGGGAGGCTGAGGCAGGAGAATTGCTGGAACCCAGGAGGTAGAGGCTGCAGTGAGCCGAGATTGTGCCACTGCACTCCAGCCTGGGTGACAGAGTGAGACTCTGTCTCAAAAATAAATAAATAGGGTTGGGCGCAGTGGCTCACGCCTGTAATCCCAGCACTTTGGGAGGCAGAGGCGAGCAGAGCACGAGGTCAGGAGATCGAGACCATCCTGGCTAACACGGTGAAACCCCGTATCGACTAAAAATGCAAAAAATTAGCCGGGCATGGTGGTGGGCGCCTGTGGTCCCAGCTACTCGGGAGGCTGAGACAGGAGAATGGCGTGAACCTGGGAGGTGGAGCTTGCAGTGAGCAAAGATTATGCCACTGCACTCCAGCCTGGGCAACAGAGCCAGACTCCTGTCTCTCTCTCTCTCTGTGTGTGTATATATATATATATATATATATACACACACACATATATATACACACACATATATATATGTCATGACGCTGCCCAGTTTCTAGACCTGAGTGGGTTTCTGACCCAGAGAACAGTCACTGAAGTGAAGGCTGAATCCCTCAGAGGAAGATATGCAACACCAGTTATTTTGGACTGTTGCAAAAATAACCCAGCTAGATGCGGTGCCTTTGCTAGAGAGGGTTCCCCAGCCTGCCCAGGTGTGCGGTGAGGCCGCTGCTGGGTGCGCATTCTTCTCCATCTCCTGCCTGGCAGGAAGATCAGTCACACTGCCTTGGAACTCAAAACAGGAAACAGCCAGTTCCTCCCCAGAGCTATGGGCTATGGTAATATTTCTGCCTCTCTCCCAAGAATCCAGAGACCGGCACCAGCTGAATGAATGTCCCCAGGACGTCACACTGGCCCCCTCTATCGATGGCCCTGTGCTAATGAGACCAGATGAGCAAGATGTGGTGAGCACACTGGGCCCTCCTGAGTGAGAGAATCCCCTCCAAAGTAGAGGACAGATAAGTGACTGCCTCTCGCAGCCTCTGCCAGGACACACAGCACCTGGAAGGCTTCTGGGAGCTTGAAGAGCATATTCCACATTTGGGGACTCTGTTCTAACCCAATACTGGGGGACATGAAAGGACAACTCTGAATAGGCACAGAGCAGAACCAGCTCTACCGCCGTCCAAGCCCAGCTCCCGTGTCCTGGTTGCTACTTAACAATCTGACCCTGCAGACCAAAGGCACGGGTGGTAAGGGGTGGGGGTTTAAAGTCAAGTGCCCATGGAAGACCCTAACCACAGGCAGGTGCAGAGGAGGGCCGTGCTATCTGCAGTGGGTGTTGCGTGCCTGCATCGAGGACTCTTGCCGTGGTTCTGGGCCCCTGCGGAGATGCACGGCCTGGCCATGGGATGCCCCATGGGTGTGTCTGTGCCTTGCTTGCTGTCACTGGCTCTTAGACCTGCCCCATCATGAGGCTGAGCAGGCAGCGGTCTTCAGGGGGATGTGGTACATCCAGGACAGCAGGAGGCGGCATGCATAGGTTGTCCCGGCCTGCGCGGACCCCACCCCATGATTCGTGTTCCCAGAACAGACCCACATTCACACCATTGCTGCCTCCCTGTCTAACACAGCTTGGCTGAGGTCCAGGCCACTGTCCAGGGACCGCCATGAGCGTCTGTCCGCCTTGGTGTCAGTGGGAGCTGGCTCGTCCTCTGGTGGGGGCCGTCCTCTGTGGCAGGGTGTCCTGTGCCCTGGCGGGAGCACTCCTCACCAGGTCGTGACAACCCACAGCACCTCCAGAGGTGGTCCCCTGTCCCCTGGGGGACATGACAGCTGCCTATTGAGAACCGCTGGCTCACAGAACATCTCATCCTGCGGATCCCGCCCAGTGTCTGTTGCATTTGACCAAGGGACGCGTTTACAGCAAAGTCAGGGGTGGGCTTGACCGGGGGCATTTCTAGAAGCTTCTAGCCTGACAAGGCATGCCCTGTGGGGATGAAAGCCACCCCCAGGACCTGTGTATGCGCCAAAGCAAGATGCTGGGGTCTGGGAACCAAAGTGGAGGCCCTCTAGGCCCTGCAGTCCCCAGTCCCGGCTCCCACAGGGTGGGACTCCCCCAGGGCTATGGCAGAGTCTCTGCCTGGGCTCGGAAGGACAGCGGAGGTCCACAGTTCACCCCAACCTCACTCTTCCAAGTTCCCCTTTTCGAAAGAGGCCCCGGCAGCGCAGAGGTGCGACGGGGCAGGTGCAGTGGACAGGAGCCGTCCGAGTCCCGGGATCCGAGCCGGGCAGGGCGGTCCCACAGCGCCACCTGTCGGCCGCGCGCGCCCAGGTCCTCAGCCCGGGCCGGGCGACTCCGAGGGGCGGGAGCGCGTGTGCGGCCCCGCGGTCCGCCAGCTGGGCCCGGGCAGGGGTCGCAGTCTGAGGCTGGGTCCGCTGCGTCGGGCGGGAGCTGGCGGGGCGCGGGCGGCACCGCGTGGGGAGGGGCGGGCCAGAGTCCCCCCCAGGAGGCGGAGCTCCCGGTCCCAGCTCCAACCCCAGCCGCGCAGGCGCCCCTCGAGCACCTGGGCAGGTGGACCCCAGCCCCACGGTCCCAAGGACCCTGCCTACGCCCTCGCCCCTGCCCCGGCCCCGGCTCTGCCCGCGGGGTCGTCCCCCATTCCTGCTCAACCGCCCCCGCCAGCCCCCGTCCCCCGTGTCCTACTGGGACCCCTCCTGGCTGGCCCCGACCCCCCGCTGAGGACTCCCTAGAGTTCACTGGCGACAAGGTGGAGACTGGGGTCGTCTCTGCTGCGCGCCCGGGATCCTGCTCCCAGCGTCCGGAACCGGGGCCCCTGCCCTGTACACCTCCTGTCCTCGACGCCCCCAGCCTGGACATGGGGGTCAGTAGTACCAGGACGGTGCATGGTCAGGGAAGGGGAACTAGGGCAGAAGCAGGACAGAGGTATCGGCTGAAAGGTAGGGCGGGGGTCCCAGACCCGGCTGCAGTCCTACCTGATTGATGGCGGCTCCACAGGGCTGAACGGGGCAGGGAGGTGAGGGACATGGGAGACGCCTGTCTGCGCACGTGGGGGTGCACAAGGTGGCCCTGGGCCAGCCCCTGCCTGGGTCCTCCTCCCTGGCTGTGCCCTCTACTCCTCCCCCAGGTACCTCCCAGGGATCGGGCCTGCCTTCAGGGCTTCCCGCTGGGGTCGCCTAGTTCCCGCCCACCCATGGGTAGCTCCACCCTCCCACAGGAGACTCAGGTGCTTGGCCGCCCAGGGCCTCAGCTGGTGTTCCCCTACTTCTTTCCATGGCCATCCCTGTGGACTCTCTGCCATGCTCTGACCCCACTTTCTGAGTCCCCCAAGGGCCCACACAGCCCCCGCCCCTCTGGCCTCTGCCCTTGGTCTGCACAGCCGGGACCCCATCTCTAGGTGGTTCCATTGGCACGTGAAGCGAAGACTGCCTGAGAGGACTGCAGTGGACAAGAGCAGCCCCCATCTCGCCCAAGCTGAGCTGTGCCCCCTCCAGGGATTTGGGGCGCCCTGGCCTAGGGTTAGAGGGAGAGGGGGAGAGGCAGTGAGGCTGCTGAGTGCAACTGACTCAGGAAGAACCAGAGGCGAGATGCAGGGCCAGGCACCACTTACCACTCAGCCTGCCAAGTGGGCTGTGGCCGCCTCTGCCTGTCAGGGACCCACAGGGCACAGTCCTACAGCAGGGCTCTTCCAATACCCAGGTGAGCATGACCACCTGGAGCCCAGTGAGCACAGGTGCACTGAGGTGGGGTTCATGGGCACAGAACAGTGTGGACATGGGGGTCAGTAGTGCCAGGACAGTGCACAGCCTGGGAAGGGGGGCCAGGGCAGGAGCAGGCCAGCCAGTCTCCTACCCCTGGGGGACATCGGCACGGACAGGAGGGACGGCGTGACTGAGGAGTGGGTGAGGGGGACCAGGCCAAGTGGGAGGCCCAGGGAGGAAGCCGTGGCCCCTCAGAGGGAGCTCCCAGAGTCTGCAACCTCTTACCCGCAGCCAGCTTTCTTCTTGGAGTGTCTTCATTCCCAGGTGAGGAACAGGCGGGCCCTGGGGTTTGTGATTGGCTGTTTCCTCCAGCGAAGCCCCCAAAGATGCCTTTCCTCTGCCCGAGGGTCCCTGCTTGTACATCCTTTGAATCACTGAAGAGGGGCCCATAGGTTGGACCCCTGAAACCCACCTGGTCACGTCTTTAGGTTCTCGCCCGAGGGAGGGGGAGGGGGAGGGGGAGGGGGGAGGGGGGAGGGGGGAGGGCCCTCCCCTACTCCTCTCCTCCCCTCCTTCCCTCCTTCTCTCCTCCCGCAAGCAGCACGTGAGTCCTGTTCAGGGACAGCAGAGCCACCAGCCCAGGACCGGACCTGCTGCCTCTGCAGACCTCGGCAGCCCTGGTCACCTCCCGGCTCTGGCAGGACAGGTGCAAACTCAGTGGTAAAGGTCTGTCCTGATTAATGAGACAAACCCATACCCGTTCTCCTGATTACCTTCAATGGTCAATTTTATTACAAAGAACTGTATCAAAATATACAAGTCTGTTTAAGAACAACCAAGAAATGCAGCTGTTTAAGGGCCAAATGAGAATCAACCATTAGAGACCAGGCAGCTTCTCCCTCCCGCTGTCCACTGCAGGGGACACATCCTCGGGGCCACATTTTCCACAGGACGTCCTTCTGAATAATTTAAAGGGCAAGTCTAGCACGTTACAGGTCTTCGTGGGCGGGCAGCTGTGTCGGGCTTTCTTCTGTGGCTTCTGTCAGAAAACAAGCACAGGTCGTCAAAGCTCGGCACGAAGGGCCCTGGGGACGAGGCCTTTCCCGGGACAGCAGCAGGTGCAGGGACTGCCTGTCCAGTCCTGGCTCAAGGCCCCGGACGCAGTGGTCCAAGGGCAGCTCGGAGACCCCCGGTTCCCCCCACAGCAGATGAGAGATGAGGCAGAAGGGATTTCAAAGCCGCCGCACTGCCTTGGGTGTGGAGGATGCGGAGATGGGAGCGGCAAGGGGTTCCTTGCAGCCCAGTAGAATGGGAGCCTGAGCAATGGTGGTGGGGTGAGGAGAAAGAGGGGACCCAGGGTGGTGGTAGGAGGGAGGGGCAAGAGGGGACCGAGGGTGGGGGGAGGGAGGGGCAAGAGGGGACCGAGGGTGAGGGGAGGGGGGGCAAGAGGGGACCGAAGGGGTGGCAGACAGCCTTGTCCTCTTGCCTGTCTGTCTCTGCCGACCCCTCAGTTCTCCTGTCTTGCTGTTGCTGTTTACTACGATGCTTCTAGAGGTGGAATTGCTTTTATTTGTTCTGCTCAGGAAACAGCTTCTGGAATCTGAATCCTGCCTTATTCATTCTGAAAAACCCTTAGCCAACATCTCCTTGAACGCTGCTTCTTTCCCACACTCTGTATTCTAGACTTCTGTGAGGACTGTTGTGGGCAGAGCTGTGTCCCCCAAAAGATGCTGAAGTCTTTACTCCCAGCACCTGGGATTGTGACCTTGTTTGGAAATAGGGTCTTCAGAGATGGCTAAGTTAACACGAGGGCATTAGTGACTGGTGTCCTTACGAAGAGGGGAGGTTTGTACAGACACCGCATGGGACTATGTGAAGACACGGGGAGCAGGTGGCGTCCCCAGGCAAGGACAGAGGCCCGGAACAGACGTGCCTGCCCAGCCTCCCAAGGAAGCAGCCTGCTTGCATCTGGGCCTCTGACTTCTGGCTCCAGATCTGTGAGAGGCACATTTCTGTTGCTGGAGCCGGAGTCCCTGGTTCTTGGTAAGGCAGCTCCAGGAAACAGGCATGGGGGACCTGCTTGCCCTTCTCCACTTCCTGCCAGTCCCTGTCTCTGTGGCACCCTGGGCAGCTTCCCCAGATGACTTTTCCAGCTCCTCAGCTGCCTCTTCTGTGTCTGCTCCTCCTTGCCTGCTGAGGTTTGAGGTTCAGAGACTTCCCTTTTCATCGCCTTAACTTCCGTTTGAGCTGTGAACCTGGGGCTTCATCCTCAGGAAGCCGGTACCTCTCTGCGCAAGTGTGCCCACACAGAGGTGTTATGCACCTGTCTTCCGGGAACTCCCCTCTCACTATCCCAAGGCCACTGTCTGTGTGGATTTCAGACCAAGCAGCCAGTCTACCTGCAAGCCCTGAGGTCCAGGGGAGGCAGCCCATGTTGGGGGAGCTCGTGTGGCGAGAGCCTGTGTAGGGGGAGCCTGTGTAGGGGTCAGTCTGTGTAGGGGGAGCCTGTGTGGGGGGCAGTCTGTGTGGAGGGAGACTGTGTAGGGGTCAGTCTGTGTAGGGGGAGCCTGTGTGGGGGGAGCCCATGTGGAGGGAGCCCGGGTGGAGGCGGCCCGTGTCAGGGGAGCCCGTATGTGGGGAGCCCGTGTAGAGGGGGCCCGTGTGGAGGGAGCCCGTGTGGAGGGGGCCCGTGTGGAGGGGGCCCGTGTGGAGGGAGCCCGTGTAGAGGGGGCCCGTGTGGAGGGGGCCCGTGTGGAGGGGGCCCGTGTGGAGGGGGCCCGTGTGGAGGGTAGTCTGTGTCGGGGGAGCCCGTGTGGAGGGAAGCCGAGGGGGCCCGTGTGGGGGGGGCCCGTGTGGAGGGGGCCCGTGTGGGGGGAGCCCGTGTGGAGGGGGCCCGTGTGGGGGGAGCCCGTGTGGAGGGTAGTCTGTGTCGGGGGAGCCCGTGTGGGGGGAGCCCGTGTGGGGGGGGCCCGTGTGGAGGGAGCCCGTGTGGAGGGAGCCGCGCCACTCACCAGCCTCTGCCGGCGGCACACAGGCATCTTCAGTTTCTTCGAAGCCGTCGGGACACACGCAGACGTAGCTCCCTGGAGTATTGTAGCAGTTTTCGTTTTTCCTCACACAGGCTTTTTCTGCTAGTGAGCACTCATCTACATCTAAAATTAAAAGACTCCGTTTTAATAATTACTCCCCTTAGCAGATGTGCAGCAGACTGTGAAACTCATTCATTCAGATTCACTCACATAAAGAAAGCACAACGATGACAAACGTCATGTTACAGAAAGGAGCAAAGGTCAGGAAAGGCTTCAAGAGGGCAGAATTTCATGTCTCAAAGTTGGGCCCTCAACTGGTAGAAAATGCAGAGAAGAGACCTCCAGGTGAGGCCAGAAGGCTGGCATGTGCCCAAGAAGCCCACTTTCTTTTCTTTTTTTTTGGAGATGGAGTCTCAGTCTCGCCCAGGCTGGAGTGCAGTGGCGTGGTCTCAGCTCACTGCAAGCTCCGCTTCCCGGGTTCATGCCATTCTCCTGCCTCAGCCTCCCAAGTAGCTGGGACTACAGGTGCCCGCCACCACGCCCGGCTA